AAAGGATATTCCAAAATTTTTTTTCAACTTTTTTTCGATCCATGTCTTATATATGCACCATAAAAAATTCAAACCAACCAAAAATTAGTGCTAAATATCAATCGTAATATAAACAATTACAGGCGGAAAAAAACTGCTTTGTTTTGAAACATTATTTTCCATATCAACAGACGTTTACGCAAAAGATCCCAAAGAATTCCATTTGACATATTGCAATGTTTATTCTTTGAAAATTTTTACGCACATTATTAATATTCTACGGAATGTGATTTTTACATATTCAGGTTCATTCTTTCAATTCCATGATTTTTCTTAGAGTTGTGTATAAATAAAAAAAACTATCCATTGAAAGTTTACTGTTGTTTACAAGAGAAAGAAAAAGACATTGTCCTCATATTTCACGTTTATATATATATATAGATCCTTCTTCTTTTAAATAGATATAATATTATAAACTTGTATCCAATGACGTTTAATATTAACGATGTTTCATATTTTGTTGAAATCGAGAAAAAAATAGATTTTATCATAGTGTCTCCCATTTCTATTGGAAATTATAAAGATACAGTCCGATGAAATTTATTATGCAAATCGCATAAATAATAATTTTATTTGAAAAATCTTTCCAAACAAATTTTAAACGATTAATTTTGATAAAATCATGTTTTAAAAATTAAATTTTGACGTTTATTTACTATCTGTTTTAAAAAAATATGATAGAAGGAAATATAAAAAATAAAGCCTCTTAAATGTTTTTTTGTCTCTCATACCACTTTTTCCTTTCAGGCCAACCTTCTCTGTTAAATTACATAAACTTAATAAAGGTGTCCAAAGTGTATATTTTCATTTCATTTTTTCGCTTTTGATTTTAGGAAGTGATGTCTGAAGATCCAATTAATTTAAAAGGTCTCTGGTGAAAATAAACTATTACAATGGAGCCTTAAAGTGGATATTTTTTCTTTAAATTATTAGCTCTTATTTAAATTATTATTTTAAAATTAATTCATATATATATATATGTGTAATACCATGTGTGTGTGTGTGTAAATCCAAATGTAAGAGAAAAAAGAATATAAACTCAAACGTTCATAGCATTACTATAAAAGAGGGCTCATAAACCAAGTTATAGCAATAGTTATTTATTATAAAAGATGTTTATAAACGGATTTGTATTCACGACAAAGATGCATTTTTGTTTCGATGTGAACGCATCTTGACAGATGAGGAACGAAGATGGTTATAAAGAATTCTATTTAAAGATGGTTATAAACGATTCTATTTTTAAAAATTGAATGAAAAATGGTTGTAAACGATTCTATTTAAAAAAATTGAATAATGAAAATGGTTGTAAACGATTCTATTTAAAAAAAAATTGAATAATGAAAAATTTTATAAAACGATTCTATTTTAAAAAATTGAATAATGAAAGTGAAAATTACACAAAAATGATTAAAAAAAAAAAACAATAATGAAAATGGTTGTAAACGATTCTATTTAAAAAAAATTGAATAATGAAAAATGGTTGTAAACGATTCTATTAAAAAAAATTGAATAATGAAAAATGGTTGCAAACGATTCTATTTAAAAAATTGAATAATGAAAAATGCTTGTAAACGATTCTATTTAAAATTTGAATAATGAAAATGATTAAAACGATTCTAAAAAAAAAAAAATAATGAAAATGAAACATAAAACGATTCTATGAAAAAATTTGAATAATGAAAAATTTTAAACGATTCAATTAAAAAAAATTGAATAATGAAAAATGCTTGTAAACGATTCTATTTAAAAAAATTGAATAATGAAAAATGGTTGTAAACGATTCTATTTATAAAAAAATTGAATAAAAAAAAAATAAACGATTCTATTTAAAAAAAAAAAAATGAATGAATTGAAAAATGATAAACGATTCTATTTAAAAAAATTGAATAATGAAATAGAAAGTGATGTTTCATAAATAGCATTTTTAAATCTGGATAAAGTTATTGGTAGATATATGAATAGGACTTTGGGAATTGTGAAAAGGTTAAAGAGAGAAGAAATGAAATTGAAATATTGACAAGAACAAAAAATGTCCTTTAAGCAGGGCCGGTGCCAGGGTCTAGTGTCCCCCCTCAATCTTTGATTCCGGCTTCCGGCCACTTTACTAAATATCAATTTTCATAAGGTAGTATTCATATAAAATAGAAATTTTATTCTATCCTAATTATGGACAATAATGGATCATATACAATATAGGTGAAAAATTCAACTAGAAAAATTGAAAATAAATACAATGTTTCGAAATACAAATTAGAGACATGTTATCAGAGATGTTTTGCAGCAATTTTTAACATCAACCTGAGATTTTTCTTATTTTTTTAAAGTTGAATAATATTAACACATTGAACGTTATGGATAAATAAAATAGCGAATTTTGTATAGTACTTTTACGAGACTTAGCATGAACAAAACAAATTCAAGAATTTATGAGAAAAAAGATCCCAGAATGATGTAAAATCAGCAAAAAATTTTCATCCCATTGAATAAATATTTGTGGCAAACTTTATTCTAATGATTAATGAAAATGAAAAAAAAAACTAAAATTTTTAAAATAATAATTTTCACATAGCTTTAAGAATATGGCATAAGGAAATAAAATAAAAAAAAATCAAAAAAAACTGAATTAACCAACAAGAAAGTATTAAAGCGTATCTCATATTGCATAAGTAAAGAAAATTAATTAGAAGTATCTGTCTATATTTCTGAAATGAATAATTATATTCAATTTTATTTAAATTATTCGGACTATTGTTTTCATCTTTTGTTACCATATTTATCTACAACGTTTCGGCCTGTTTACGCTCCGGATTTCTTCTTTTTACTTTTTGGAAATGGAACTGAACCCTTTATAATGATAATGAATGGTAGCCTGTTCTAGTTAAATTTAAGAACAATTTCATATCTAATGGATGTAAGTTATATTTATCTCCTGTTAATTAAAAAAGGATTTTTTCTCCTCATTCCAACCACTTGAAGATTTATTTATACAATTTTGAAACGTTGTGATTTTTATGGCAGTGTAGTCCGAATAATGTAAATATATTAGTTTTTTAAAAAATAAATTTAAATAAAACCATGAATCGCAACTCGATGCGACTTCCGTTTAAAAACAACAAAAGATTTCAAAAAATATTTAATATCACGACGAATTGTTGTTCATGGAAACACAACGTTGAAAATTTCAGTTGCACTTTGGAAAAGAAAACGCAAGAGAAAATGTAAAAAAAACAAACCTTCTCCCGTGATTAGAACCTGTCGTTTATGGTATGTTATTGGAAATTTCAAAACACCGAAACTTTTTATTTTGGAAGAAGAAAGGGCATTTAAAAACATCTTGCAGAATATTGTATTATAAAGAATTTTTAATGATTTTATCCACACTGCATTATTCACTACTTTCTTTTCCACTGCATTGGTTTTCATGGCTCCTCTAAATTAAACTAGTTTAATTTCAGTCATCTGTCATTCATTGTTGTCATAGCAGGATATGACAACACAACTGCAAAATTCAATAATGCTATAAGATTAAATGTTCAATTTTAATTCTATGTATTATTATTAATGACCTTTCTCTTAACCTTTAACACACTACATTATTCACTACTTTGATTTTATGCAAAATTTTTTTTCTGTTATGGTGGAACACACCTATTCTATAGTTAATAGACTCTCCCATCTATAATAAGTAGGAGTAGTAAGAGTAACGGTCCAGTCGCTCAGTCAGTCGATGTCGGACGACAGTTAGTCGAATACTAAAGTACCATCGACCACAACTAGATTACTTTGCGTTATACCTATTATATCAAGTTCCTAACGTTTTGTACGTCGAACCTATTTTAGGACCGACCTAGTACAAATACAAGCCTCCACTGTGAAATCACTCCACAACATTTTCAAAGCTCTATATATAGACCGTACTGCACTACTTAATTTTGGTCATGGTCATTTTCTGTTGCCATAGCAGGATTTGACTTCACAGCTGCAAAATTCAAACATTCATCTGAGTCACTTGGCAGGATAAAATTTTTGCTTTGTAAACAAAATCACCTCTAGAAGTTAAGAATCAGAAAAAAAATTACAGCTTAAACTTCTTTTGACGAAGTCAGGTACGAAGCAAATGCAAATTGCGTAACTATAACTTTTTGGTAAATATAGAGCTACTGTGAATGGATTTGATAGCTGAGATTTTTAAACAACTCACCTCAAGCAAAGCGGGAGTGCCACTATGCACGCAAGGGGCTACAGAGTATTGAGAACAAGTGTAAAGAGGCGTGCTTGAGGAAAAGATACAGAAAAGGTGCGGGGGACAAGATCAAAGTATCAGAAGATGTTGATTGACATTACACTTAAATACTTGAAGATTATAGTTATCAGGGAAGAAAGTAAGAGGAAGAGAGTTACACAGACGGGAAGTGCGGAGATCTGAAGCTGTTTGAGTCGAAGAAACGGTTACATTTAACCGTTTCGACATTGAAAGGGTGGGACCGAGATACCAGCCTAGTAGCTCAATTTAAATTCATGCAGCCTGGGAATTTTTGAAAGTAGCTGAATAAGAACAGTTGCCGTCAAAAAACTTGTAGAAGAGACAGAGGAAGATTTGGCATTGTCTATGAAAGTCGACTGTAGACTAGATGCCAGATCAGGACCTATCACATTGCATATTCGTCTCTGGATTTTGTCGAGGACCTTAAGAGGTACAGCGGAGCACCAGTCCATATATGACAGCAACATACCATGCAAGGACAGATACTTGTCCGCTCGTAAGAATGAAAACTGTGGTAATATTTTTTAATATAGATTATCATTCCTGAGACCCTCTTCTGACCGCTACATGTGTTAAAATCAAAACATAATTATTTCTTATCATTTTACAAGTGGGGCTCCTGTTCATAATATAAACACAGTGTCAAATCGATCCCCGACTTCTTCAATAATTCTCTTTGTTCTGATTTCATTTAGGCCATAGTACATTGAGACCCCGGTTCTCGTCCAATCACAGAAGATAAGCAACGTCGAGCCTGGCCAGAACATAGATGGCTGACCGCTTGGGAATACCAGGTGTTGTAAGCTTGAATATTCGTGTGGTGTAATGAATAATGGTTCAGAATTATTAATCGGAGAGCCGAGTTTCAATTCCAGTCGGGTTTGTTACATTCAGCTACAAGCAAATCCCCTTGGGAATGCTATGATTCCACAACTTCTTCCCCATCTATGGAATAAAATAGCAAAATCCTTATTATCGCCATGAGATTGTTAATACAATATTCACACATAAAAAATTTCTCTTACAATCCTAAAATAAATTTCGGCTTTAAATAACTGTTGTATAATACCTACGGACGATAATGGGTATGTCCACATTCACATAAATGCAGTATTAAAAACTGTATGTTGGTCTGCAGTCGGAGATTCGTCTCCAGCTGTGCTGATCAAACCCTCTGCCTACGGGCAGAAAGGATCCCCAGACGAGTCTATGTCGAAGTGCCGAATCTCGTCACGGGAAACAGCTACCCGACCCTATTTTATACGGGGTCTACAGGGAATTGTTGGCCGTACCTACGGGCTTGGATACCCCGCATTAAATTCGGCCTTGTGCCACATCTGACCACGTGGGGTGGTTGGTAGATATCCTGCAGTTGGAGATTCGTTTCCAGCTGTGCTGGTCAAACTCTCTGCCTGGAAAGGGCAAAGACGAGGCTCGATCAAATTCTATTGAAAAACTACCCGACCCCGTTTATACATACGGAGGTCTTTACAATTTTGTATGGCGAACCAATTTAAATTCGGCCTTGTGTCACATCTGACCGCTTGGGTTGGTAGATATCCTGCAGTTGGAGATTCATTGTGGAATTTACTTGACTCACTTCTAGCAGTTGACTACTACTTCTACGCGCCGCTGGCGAATCTTATATGTGTTGTTCTTGTTCTAAGTATTATCGTTCATTACCAACCTTCGTTTGATTATTCTATTCAGTAACCTTACCTCGGTTACAACAATTAGAATACAAAAAGGTTGAATAGTAATTAAAAAAACAAATCAATAAATGTTTCCATTTATAGTTATAATTATATGCTTACGTCATTGATAACTGATGTTGTCTCACCTCAATTCGCAATAGTACGCAGCTATCAATGACGTAAGCACTGAATTCCAGTCGAGTTCATTACATTCACTTACGTGCTAATACCCTTGGAAATGGTATGTATCCATCTCTCACTCTTCCCTCAGCTATGGGTAAAATAACAGGACTGGATAGCCTTGAGGTGTGTCCTATCTAGGAGAATAATTCAGAACTTAAAAAATAACTGATTGCCTAGCATACGGACTTAGGGCAACCCACACCATATTGCTTGATCTTCGGCTGTCGGTGAAATTTTTTTTGAGAGGAGATGGTAAATATTTATCTGTTAATTTCCACTGAAAAGATATAAAGAAGGAAAAGAAATCAAAAATCTTTCTTCTAGATCACCCAAACCTCCGGTCCAGGGGTGAAATAATCAAATTGGAAAAGTACCATCAAAATGATCGCGTCCAAAATGTGACAGGAATTTCTTTCCATCCTACTTTATACAATATGCATTCTGGCAGTTGTTCAATGATGCTAGTTTTTATGTAGACAAATGATGTCCTATTTTTTTTTTGTTTTTTTTATATATTTATATATATATATATATATATTATATATATTATATATATATATATTTTATAGATAAGTTCTCATATCAGGGACAGACAACGTCTTGGACAGAATTATTCACCCCACTTCTTTCTGTGTCTACCATAATTACAAATAAAGCTGTAATACCTCAACTTTTCAAGGAAACGTCATATGGATCTTTTCCCAAGTGATGAAATAACGGACTTGAAAGAATGCGCAGTGATGCCCACAACAAAATTTTTACTTTAATGTCAAACAAATAAATGCACTTTTTTCAGTTTTATATGTTAATTTCTGATTTTTTTTTTTTTTTTTTTTTTTTTTTTTTTAAAGGAATGAATTTTTTTTTTTAATGAAATGGTTTTTTTAAGTTTTAACTTGAAATTTGTTGGACTTTTGTTCAAAAATAAAATATATATATATATATATATATATAGAATATATATATATATGTAAAAATGTGTGTGTGTGTGTGTGTGTTATGTTTTTTTGAAAGAAAATCATGGGAAATTTGTATAAAAGCAGATAATTGACCTTGCAAACCAGACGCTTTATTCTTTAAAAAATGGTATAGCACGTCAGGCTACATGACAGTATCGAGTAGGATACAGGTTCAATTCCTGTCGGAGGACACATATGTTCTATGAAATTTCTCAGACATTCAGGCCGGTAAATGTTGTTAATACTGTTTATTATAAACAGAGCACTTACTTAAATATTTTTATCTGTAAAAATAACGTATAAATAGAATATATATATATATGCCAAGAAGAATGGGACAAAATACCACTCAATGTTGGGACGTACATGAATAGACTGGTAGCTGTTGAACTCAATAAAGGTTATTCCACAATGTATTAAATTAAGTTAATATGCATTTTTTGTTTTGTACGAATACTTTTTTCACCGGTTACAATTTAAAAAATGCATTAATTTATGTTAGAATAAGAATTAATTAAGTTTATTATTATTTTTTTAATAGTATGTGTCTTTTATATAAAATGTGCTGAGATTTGTTTATTTAATTTTTACATTTATACAATTTTTCAAGTGTACGAATATTTAGGACTGTATATATATATATATATATATATATATATATATATATATATATATATATATATATATATTTTAACATTTGATAAAATGGATATTGTAATAAAGACGATTATATATATATGAATAGGAAATTGAAAAAAGGATAAAAAAGGGAAGATGGAACAATCAGAAAAGAAAACAATGAAATAGGAAAAAGGACAAATGCTTTTTTAGCTCAGGTAGATATATAGGTCTCGTGTCTCCCAAATCTATGATATAGCCCCACGAATCTATAATACAAAAAACACCAAAAACCTTTTAACATAGGACAAATTATTGGCCCTCTTGCCTCAATAATCATTTGTGTAACCTTTTTTAGATTTTTTTAATTTAATTAAAAATTTTTGAAGTTCCTTCCAAAATCACTACACAATTATTTTGCTTCATTCTCTCTTGGCAATAGCTTGTAGTTCCTCCAAATTCGAAAGACTTCTTTCTCTTACTTTTTTCTTCAAATAGGCCCATAAATTTTCAATGTGAGAACCTCAATACCTCAATTTTACTGTCATATAAGTAATTTTTAACAATCCGTTATGAATTTTTTCAGATATTTTTGTATATACATACACACATACACCCAGGCATATACTTATTTTCACACTGCAATTCTGTTTCGAATACTATTATGCACATCCCCAATATATATATATATATATATATATATATAATATATATATTATGTTTTTTGACGTTAAAAATAATTTAAGTTTTTCAATTACGTTATTATTGATTCACCGACCTAATATTTATAAAATATTTTGTTAAAAAAAAAAAGGTTTTTGTAAATTTATAAAATAATTTTCAAATTCAATATATTGACATCTGAATCAAAAGTGTGGACACATTGATCAAAGATCACGGTGTGTTTTGTCACCTTCTTTGTCATTATCAAGAACTCGGTGTTGTCGTTATGGTAAATAAAGTTGGCTTCATTAAAATATATATACTTAAAAGTAGAAATGTTCCATGTTTAGTTAATGCGGAATATTTAATATATATATATATATATATATATCTGAATTATATATATACAAAAATAAAATACTTTGTCATTCATAAAATATAATACAATGCTTAGAATATCATTTCATTCCAAAATTTTTAAATAAAAAAATACATATTTGTCGTAAAATATATATACACACATATATATACATACATAAATATATATATATATATATATATATATATATATAATATTTATATATATATATATAAGAGAGAGAGAGAACGCACTTACAAAGCTAATATAGATAAAAGTTCATATGACGTCCATTTTGCGTTTACATTTACAATTTTCGAGCTAAATTTCAATATAAATATATATATATATATATATATATATATATATATATATTATTAAAAATAACCTTATATATATATATATAAATATATATATATATATATATAATGAAATGTTTTGAATATCCTTATGGATAATCATATGGAGGATTAATCCAAAGATTTCATTTTAAAACAGACCGAATACATGCATACACACATATTTACATACATAAGAACACACACACACACATGTTTAATATATATATATACAACAATATTTTTTTTTTTATTTCAATAGCATTTTTTGAATTTTCAAATTAATGAAACATCGGAATTAAAAATGGAAATTGATCAAAGACGACGGTTTTTTTGTCACTATGACCGTCTGAGGCGATTATGAAAATATTTAAATAGAAAAATATTCGTAGGTCGGGACCCTGTACAAATTCAATGCCTGAATTTTGTTGTCATCTAAGTATTTTAAAAACAAATCATTCCGTGTGATCATTCGGGTCAAATTCATGTTGAAATATAAATATGATTCGAATAGAGAGAGAATGCATTTTGTTTGATATTATTTTTGCATAGCCAAAAAAATTCTTTTTCCATGAATCATAGAAAGAAGATCTCATTAAAAAACGGCTAACTATCCCTGTGCATGGAGGCTATTTTTCATTTGTGACCTTCATTCACTTTCTTTCATATAAAACGGGAGTTCATGAGACCAAGTAATTTTAGTTTGGTTTCAACTGGTTTCATCATAAAACATCGTTCCAATATTGACTTCCGTGTTCTAGATGGCTTCTAGCATAAGCTAATCTGGATTTAAGGTGTTTAATCTTAAGCAAGGGAGTTTTCCTTGTACAACAAACTCGAAGACCTTCTCAATGAAATCATCTAATGACTGTCTTCTTAGATACATTAAACCCTGATGCATTTACATTATTGGCAATGTTCTTTGTCGTTAAGTGAGGATTCTTCGAGACAATTTTCTATTCCATTTTCTCAGAAATTAACCGTTTTCTGC